GCCAAGACTTAAAGGGGCCAAGACTTAAAGGGGCCAAGACTTAAAGGGGCCAAAGACTTAAAGGGGCCAAGACTTAAAGGGGCCAAGACTTAAAGGGGCCAAGACTTAAAGGGGCCAAGACTTAAAGGGGCCAAGACTTAAAGGGGCCAAGACTTAAAGGGGCCTTATTAACCTCTTTATGATCACCTAACATGTGCAGTGGCAAAATGGTAGGCTTTACATGCCCACACACTGCACATGTGTTACTGGGTGGCTCATGTTTATGTGCTGAGAGCGCGCTCCCATTACACAGACAAAGCTGTCATAGTCAGTTCTCGGTCTAGGCTAAAGGACCGGCTTCCGATCATGTGACCACTGTGACAGTGGTCAGATGATCACCAATTCTTCCCACCCCAGGGGACATTCAGGACTGTTTAAAGGGGCATTGGGGCAGGTGGGAAGGGATTAGCATTGATGGACCACTACCTAAGGTTTCCAGGGATTATCTGTATTGTGTCCATTTATCCTGCAGGAGAAAACTGGCAACTAACAGCAGTTAGCATAGCAAGAGTCAGTTGCTTCATCGGAGATTTAAAGGTGAAGACCTCATTCACTTGGGCAGCGACACCCTTACTGCATGAATGAGGCCATTGAAATTTGTACCTGCATCCAACCCAAGCTCCGTGCAGGCAGCCTATGGAAGTGAATGCAGATGCATCAGCTGCATGGACAAAGCCACTTGTCAATATTTGGGCGGAGCGAGACCACAGCCCAGAACACACAGTATTTGCAATCAGGATAGTCGGACTCGCTTCAGCATGCCTGTCATATTTTGAAATGCGGCTGTCAGTGCAGCTGCTGCTGCATCTGCATTCACTTTCATAGGCTGCCTGCATGGAGCTTGGGTTGGATGCAGGTGCAAATTTCAATGGCCTCATTCACTCAGTACAGGTGCCACTGTCCAAGTGAATGAGGCCTTCACCTCCTTTAAATCTGCGTGCATGCAGCTTGGGGCAGACGAAAACAAGCGCCATACAGGCTGAAAATCCGGTTCAGCAGAAGCCAGTCTCACGAAAAACCACAAAACCAGCATCCAACCCACATCTGATCATAATAATTGTGTTCTGGGGGGGTGGAATCTCTGTCAGCAGGGGAGATCAATGCACTATCACTTGTGTTAGTACAGCAATCTCAGTTTTTTGTATAGCCCACTGGGCTGAATGAGAAGAACTTCTAGTGTGTACCAGGCTTAAAGCTCCATTCACTCTTGTGCGACTTCAAAGTGGTGCGATTTCCATTGCAACCTTTGGCTGTTGCACAACTGTCACATTGATAACACAAAGATGCAGCTTTCTTTCATGAGCCTTTTAAAAGTTTACATTGCAGTCTATGGCATTCAAGTCACATCAAAGTAGTCCAGGAATCTTTTTTTTAAGTCACATAGATACGAGCGGCTTCTAATTAAATACATGGGCTGCGGTTTGTCATGCGACTTCCCCCTGCCAAAGTGAGCCTCTTGCTACAAGGGAACTCGAGCAGGCTCATTCCCGCTTGGCCCTGCCCTCAGCTCTCTCATTGGCTCACTGGCTGTGATTGACAGCAGCAGGAGCAAATGGCTCCTGCTGCTGTGTGAGCCAATGAAGAGAGACAGACTTAGCAGAGCCGCTGCTCACATGCACATCACTGCATCAAGATGGGACTCAGGTAAGTAAAACAAGTAGGGGCTGCGGAAGGGGGGGGGGGGGGGGAGGAGCTACACCCAGAAGGTATTTTTTACCTTAATGCATAAGGATAAAAATCCTTCTGCCTTTAGAAACACTTTAAAGCAGGGGTGTCAAACTACATTTCATCGCGGGCCGTATCAGCATTATGGTTGCCCTCAAAGGACTAATTGTATCTGTAAGGCTAGATGTCCAGGCACCCCATCAGATGTCAAGAATCCTACACCCTTCCTAATCACCATGCACCCACTTTGGGGACAGAGCTGGAAAGCAGAAAGTGCAGGGTCTGGAGGAGGACCAGAAGAGGAGTGGAGTCAGTTACCAGAGTCTACTGAATGCCGAGACCAGGGGCGGCAGAGATGAGGGGGTTCTGCAGCTGCACTGAGAGGTGCAGGATTTGGCAGAGGAGTTCTATTCTCCTCTCTGCTGAGACAATGTGGGGGCGGAGACAAGGCGGTACCTGCAGGAGAGGTGCAAGTGCCACATGAAATGGCCTGGAGGGCCAGATTCAGCCCGCGGGACTTGTGTTTGACACCTGTGCATTAAAGTAGAACTAAAAATTATTTTTTTTTATTTTAGATTTGACTAGGGTGGAGAGGTATATGTACCCCGGTCAGGTTTTCATTGCGGTTTGTGTCCCCCTGTAGGTAGAGACACCCTCTTTATTTGTCCTGTTTGTGAAAGATCACCAGAACAGAAATAGAAGGATTCCTTCCTGTTTTGGCTATGGGACAGGAAGTGAAGGGAAATCTCTCTAATGGAACATAGAAAAAAAATCATCCCAAAAAAAGCCTTTAGTTCTTCTTTAACCCCTTCCCACCGGCACCCCCCCGGCCCTTTAAGAGTTTCAGAGGCCGGGAGGCGGGGTTTAGGGATCATGTGACCGCCGTGACGACACATGATCGGGAAAGGTCCCGATCAAAAGAGCAGAGCGGGACCTTTCCGTGAGTACCGGACGTGTGTGCTGGGAGCGAGCAGGACGCGCGCTCTCAACACATATGTATTTTGTATATTGAACGCAAATGTGCGGCCGCTCGGCGTCTAGGCCCAGACGCTGGGAGGCCGCAGTTTTGTGTGCGGCCAGCGTAAAGGGGTTTAGGGATCATGGTTTAGGGATCAGGGGTTTAGGATCATGTGACCGCCGTGACACGTCGTCACGGCGGTCACATGATCGGGAAAGGTCCCAATCGAAAGAGCAGAGTGGGACCTTTCCGTGAGTACTGGACGTGTGTGCTGGGAGCGAGCAGGACGCGCGCTCTCAACACATACAGTCATGGCCGAAATTGTTGGCACCCTTGATATTTTTCCTGAAAATCAAGTATTTCACACAAAAAATGTATTGCATTAACACATGTTTTGCTATACACATGTTTATTCCCTTTGTATGTATTGGAACAAATATAAAACAGAGGCAGAAAAGCAAATATGACATAATGTCACACAAAACCCCAAAAATGGGCTGGACAAAAGTATTGGCACCCTTAACTTAATATTTGGTTGCACACCCTTTGGAAAACATAACTGAAATCAGTCGCTTCCTATAACCATCAATAAGCTTCTGACACCTCTCACCCGGAATTTTGGACCACTCTTCCTTTGCAAACAGCTCCAGGTCTCTCTTATTGGAAGGACACCTTTTCCCAACAGCAATTTTAAGATCTCTCCACAGGTGTTCAATGGGATTTAGATCTGGGCTCATTGCTGGCCACTTCAGAACTCTCCAGCGCTTCTTTGCCATCCATTTCTGAGTGCTTTTTGACGTATGTTTGGGGTCATTGTCCTGCTGGAAGACCCAGGATCTTGGACGCAAACCCAGCTTTCTGACACTGGGCCCTACAGTGCGACCCAAAATCCTTTGGTAATCCTCAGATTTCATGATGCCTTGCACACAGTCAAGGCACCCAGTGCCAGAGGCAGCAAAACAACCCCAAAACATCATTGAACCTCCACCATATTTTACCGTAGGTACTGTGTTTTGTTCTTTGTAGGCCTCATTCCGTTTTCGGTAAACAGTAGAATGATGTGCTTTACCGAAAAGCTCTATCTTGGTCTCATCTGTCCACAAGACGTTTTCCCAGAAGGCTTTTGGCTTACTCAAGTACATTTTGGCAAACTGTAGTCTTGCTTTTTTATGTCTCTGTGTCAGCAGTGGGGTCCTCCTGGGTCTCCTGCCATAGCGTTTCATTTCATTTAAATGTCGACGGATAGTTCGCGCTGACACTGATGCTCCCTGAGCCTGCAGGACAGCTTGAATGTCTTTGGAACATGTTTGGGGCTGCTTATCCACCATCCGGACTATTCTGCGTTGCAATCTTTCATCAATTTTCCTCATCCGTCCACGACCAGGGAGATTAGCTACAGTGCCATGGGTTGCAAACTTCTTGATAATGTTGCGCACTGTGGACAAAGGCAAATCTAGTTCTCTGGAGATGGACTTGTAACCTTGAGATTGTTGATATTTTGCCACAATTTTGGTTCTCAGGTCCTCAGACAGTTCTCGTCTCCTCTTTCTGTTGTCCATGCTTAGTGTGGCACAGACAGACACACAATGCAAAGGTTAAGTGAACGTCTCTCCTTTTTATCTGCTTTCAGGTGTGATTTCTATATTGCCCACACCTGTTACTTGCCCCAGGTGAGTTTACAGGAGCATCACATGCTTGTAACATTCTTATTTATCCGCAGTTGTGAAAGGGTGCCAATACTTTTGTCCAGCCCATTTTTGGAGGTTTGTGTGACATTATGTCGAATTTGCTTTCTTTCCTCCCTTTTTTTGTTTTGTCCCAATACACACAAAGGGAATAAACATGTGTATAGCAAAACATGTGTTAATGCAATACGTTTCGTGAGAAATACATGATTTCCTGGAGAAATATCAAGGGTGCCAACAATTTCGGCCATGACTGTATGTATTTTGTATATTGAACGCAAATGTGCGGCCGCTCGGCGTCTAGGCCCAGACGCTGGGAGGCCGCAGTTTTGAGAGCGGCCGGCGTAAAGGGGTTAACCTTACTGCAACACTAAAATTAAATGCCCAAAACTGTATATTAGCCCCATCAGTTCCCAAAACCCAACATCTTGGGAACCAAAAGCTCCTGGTCCAACATGGCCGCTCCCAGCCCAAACTGGGCACTCAGCCCCGACAGCAAACGGCCATCTTTTTTTTTTTCTTTGCGACAAACTCCATAAATGGGAGATCCGTACTAAGGCTCATAAAGAACATTGCATAATTTCAGCTCATAATTAGCGTGTAAATCAGAGTCTGAATAAAACGGTGCCAACCCACCGCCACGGCGGCCTCACCTCGAGAGGGAAATCCTTTTTGCTGACATCTACAAAAGATTGGCAGTAATGAGGATCCATGTATATCAAACTGTCATCTGCAAGGACAAAACAAAAGACAAGTAATTCAAAATACACTCCATTACCGCCTCACAATCCAATTTTCTATGCAGAGAAGAAAAGCCGGCAGACAATGCCCTCTTTGCCAACGCCACGTCGGCGGCTGACGGATTTTTTTTTTTTTTTTTAATACGCGGGACAGATTAACTCTCGCCTCATCAAATATGCTTGTATAAGCAGGTTTTTTCTGTGCGGCGATGAGTCTGTCACTTAATTTTTGGTGATGAAATTACTTTCACAAACACACAATTATATCGCGGTGAAAAATGGAGCGGCGGAGAGGCTCCGACAAGCAGGACATATTGCTTGTCATCCTAACGTCAACTTGCCCTGCTTAAACGGCACAAATGTAAATATGTAAATAAAAATCTGCCAAAGGGAAGCAGAGGAAGGCTCTTAAACTTTCATTAGTCGCAGTTTAAAATATGCCTTGTTTATGCAGAGCGAGGAATTAAAAAACGGGAGCTTTGCGGGAAAAACCAATTACAATGGCGGCCCAATGACAAATGAGTGGACGTTAGTAGGTGCTGATGAATTAATAGAGGACACTCAGCGCTATGGTAATTATTCCGTGCGGGAATGGTCATTTACAAATGTACTCGAGTTTTGGAGGGTGGGGGGGCGCAAGAGAGGAAAATACACATATTCAACAGAATACGTTACAAATGCACCCACCTTGAAATCCTACAAAGTAATAGGACTGTTTTGGCCGCCCACCAATTATTCCGATGCAGTATTCAAGGCTTAGAATCCCCTGGAGAGGACAAAAAAAAATGTGAGATACAGAAAGAAGAATTTTAGATTTTTTTTATTATAGTTTCTTTTTTATATAGGTAATGTTTTTATTCTTGATATGTACAACCAAACCTATTAGTCTACCCAATGCTCTATATCTTAACCACTTCAAGTCCGGACACTTTCCCCCCCCCTTCCTGCCCAGGCCAATTTTCGGCTTTCAGCGCTATCACACTTTGAATGACAATTGCGCGGTCATGCAACACTGTACCCATGCAAATTTTTTAGCATTTTTTGGAGATAGATAAAGCTTTATTTTGGTGGTGTTTATTCACCACTGGGATTTTTTTTTTTGCTATATAAATGAAAAAGTCCAAAAATGTAAAAAAAAAAAAGTGTTTTTTCTTATAACATTTTGCAAATAAATAATATTTCATTATAAATCTTAGCCAAAATGTATTCAGTTATCTTTTTAGTAAAAAAAAAAAAAAAAAATAAAAATTAGTTTATAACCAAAAATTATAATTTTGAAAAAAGATTTTTTACATTTTTATTTTAATTATTTATGTTTGTTGTTTTTACATACTGTCGCCCTAGCAGTACAGGGTCACCATGGTGACACTGTACTACTTGTGGGGGGGTGATGATTTTTTTTTTTTTTTTTTTACACCGATTGCTTTTACACCCATAAAGGCTGTAAAAGCAATTATTTCTCCTTCTCTCTGGCTGCATTCCTGCAGCCATTGAGAATTACCGTGAGCTATGATTGGTCACAGCTTGTGACATGGTAGAAGGCTGTTGTGAATAGCCCTGTACCATGTGACCTCTGTGATCATTAACAGATTTCACACGTAGTAAGCAATGATGTCACAAGTGACATCTTGCTTACTACTCTGCATGTGATCACTGATTGGCCAATCAGTGATCACATGATCGGGACATCGCACAGAGGTCCCATACAAAGATCGGTGTTCCGTGTCCAGAGGACACAGCAGGAACCGGATCGCGGTGCTGCGCGCTCCCAGGGAGTGCGCGCAGGAGGTTTATAAACGGCCACCTGCCCCTGCACTGCCACCGTCTGGCCGTTTATATACAACGGCCGGACGGGAAGTGGTTAAACTGAAGAGTGAGGCTTCCAATCTGTTTCAGTTTAACTCAACTACATACATCAGACTAAAGTAGCTGTGAAGGTAAAAGGTTTTTTTTTTTGTTTTTTTTTTTTTTTAACTTACTGCATTCTCTGCATTAAAGTGGTTGTAAGTAAAGGCTCAAGGTGTTTTACCTTCATGCATTCTATGCCTAAAGGTGAAAAACCTTCTCTGTGCAGCAGCTCCCCCCCCTAATACTCGCCTAAGCCCCCTTCCTTGCCAATCCAGCGATGTGCACTGGAGTCTTGGCAAAACCCAGGACTCCCTCTCCTCATTGCCTGAGACAGCAGCAGGAGCCATTGCCTCCCGCTGCTGTCGATCACAGCCATGAGCCAATGAGAAGTGGGGGCGGGGCCAAGCTGCAGCTCCGTGTGTGAATGGACACATGGAGCAGCAGGTGCCCCCATAGCAAGCTGCTTGACTTGGGGAACTCGAAAGGAGGGAGGGACAAGGAGTGCTGGTGGGGGACCCGAGAAGAGAAGGATTTGGGCTGCTCTGTGCAAAACCAATACAGAGTGCAGGTAAGTAGGATGGGTTTATTTAAAAATAAATAAAAAAATTAAGCCTTTAATATCACTTTAAGGTAAAAAAAAACAAACAAAAAAAAAAGCCACACCTTTCCATGTCAGGTTTCCCAACAGCCACCCCCCACCTAAAAAACTTACCTGAGCCAGATATCGATCCAGCATTGTGCCTAAGAGCAGCAGCGCGGCTTTCTCTCCCCTCCTTAACCCCCCTGGCGGTATTTCCGAGTGTAGCTCGGGGTAAAGTTTCAGCACCACAAGCGGTAACCCCGAGCTACACTCGGGAATACACTGCAGCGTTGCTCCGGGATCTCTTCTTCACTTACCTTGTCCTGCGCTCCCGCGATGTCCCCCCTGCAGTGTCCCCGGCCATCTCCCTGGCCTATGCCGGCATCTGTCTTCCGATTCCTGCGACGTCGGGACGTACGGGGGACGGAATGGCGGGAAATTTAAAAAGGTCAAAAAGTGACATTCACTAAATACACTAAAATCACATAGTATAACATTCCTGTATCAAACCATTTCACATACATTGTGTCCCGAGTGCTTTGTCCGGCGCCCTGCCTGCATTTTTACTGTTCTTTCTGCCTGGAAACTGAGAAACGTCCATGGCGTCCAAAAAGCGTCCCTTTAGGTCAAAAGCGGTTTTAGACCGGCTAGAGAACAGCGATAGTAAATCAGAACCACTTGCAGAATTGAGTGATAATGATTCGTGGGGGAAATTCCTCATCAGACACTGAAAACGATTTTGCGACTGAGCTCAGCGATGTGCGAACTTGGCGCTATATTTCACATTTCAGTGTTTTTGGTTTGATTACATTATTGAACTAAATTTATTATTGTTTATGATTATTTAATAAATTATAATTTATGATTTCGTGTTTCAAATTTTATCATCCCCGGGATGTTTACTAGACTCTTGTTCGGACAGATTTCAGTGAGTTATTCCTAAAAATTACAGGCCTACAATAAAAAAATACATATTTCCATTCCAAAAAAATGTACCTATTTGAGCACAGAAATACTGACATAATCAGACCGCTAGGGAGGTTAAATAGGAGGCTCAGCGCCTGCTGCTGTCAATTAAATCCTAGGGGTGTGGCTCGGCCACACTGGGTGTGTCAATAGATGCACACAATGCAGCTCAGGATCGAACCTGCACGAGTGCCCCCATGGAATAAACAAGAAATATACAGTTACATTTAAAAAAATGATATATAGCAATTGTTTTTATTTTTTTTAATCATTTTTTACTATTTTGGGGCAGTTTTTCATTTGAGAATTAAAGAAAACCACACACACACACTAACCATTACCATTTACCACCAAATGAAAGCCCCCATTTTGTCCTGAAAAACAAGGTGTAATCCACCTGGATACACAAAGTAGTTGTGATGATATGTACGGTTTAACTAACACGTCCAAGTTGCAAAATTGTGCTTAGGCATTTGCATTTGTTTTACCCTTAGACGGGAAGGGGTTAAAGTGGAACTGCACTGCATCTGAGCACCACAAACCAAAATTCTCCCATCCATCCATATCTCCATTCTTTATTTTGCAGAGTATTCATTTTGAAAAACACCCCCTGGTATTTCTGGCAGTAGCCATCTTGAGTAAGGGCAGATGGTTCATGTAGCATTTACTGCCTGGAATCCATCTGCCCTTAGCTCAGGCATTGGCTGAGCAGAGATCCTTCCCTCCCCTCCTGAAGACTCCTGGTATATAGGACATAATTTGCCTAGGCAAGAAACCAGGAAGTAAGTGTAGAAATGTAAACAAAAAAAAAAAAAAGTTTAACACAAGTAAACATGATATACTTTTCTATCTATTTACTAATGCTAGCAGCACGAGGATTGAAAATAGTCCATGTTGATTGAGACAGTGCAGGCTAGGTTCACACCTCTGCAGGTTGTGTTTGACCTGCTTCTGCATTGCGTTGGTGATGCATTTTGCGTTTTTCTCTTCTTGTTGCTAGGCAGATTTAAAACGCAAAGAGCATCAAAAACACATCAAACGCGGCAAAAACACAATGCATGCTTTTCTGCAGTGTTTCCATTGAAGTCTATAGTACCAAAAATGCAACTTTTTTGCGTTCAAAAAAGTCCCGGACCCTTTGCAAAAAACGTGCCGGGTGAAAATGCGGAGATGTGAACCTGTCCCATAGGAAATCATGTTAAATGGACTGTACTGTGTTTTTGCAAAACGCAGCAGAAAAACGCTCTGGTGTGAACCTGGGGTTAAAAGGTACCCAAAACGTTATTAATGTTTGATGAACCAGGCCACTGTGTCTGCTTTTCTATCTCAGGAGCCAGCGCATGTACTCCCTTCCTCAGTCTTCCAACATGTAGCCTCCTTAGCGGTACGATTATGTCAGTATTTCTGTGCTCAAAGCGGTACATTTTTTTGCATGGAAATATGTTTTTTTTTATTGTAGGTCTGTAATTTTTAGGAATAACTCACTGAAATCTGTCCGAACAAGAGTCTAGTAAACATCCCGGGTATGATAAAATTTGAAACACGAAATCATAAATAATTTAATAATCATAAAAAAAATATAATACATTTAATTCAATAATATAATCAAACCAAAAACACTGAAATGTGAAATAGAGCGCCAAGTTCGCACATCGCTGAGCAAAGTCGCAGAATCGTTTTCAGTGTCTGATGAGGAATTTCCCCCACGAATCATTATCATTCAATTCTGCAAGTGGTTCTGATTTACTATCGCTGTTCTCTAGCCGGTCTAAAACCGCTTTTGACCTAAAGGGACGCTTTTTGGACGCCATGGACATTTCTCAGTTTCCAGGCAGAAAGAACAGTAAAAATGCAGGCAGGGCGCCGGACAAAGCACTCGGGACAAAATGTATGTGAAATGGGTTGATACAGGAATGTTATACTATGTGATTTTAGTGTATTTAGTGAATGTCACTTTTACACATTTTTAAATTTCCAGCCAGTTCCGTCCCCCGTACGTCTCGACGTCGCAGGGAACGGAACCCGGATGCCGGCATCGGCCGGAAGACATTGCCGGGGACACTGCAGGGGGGACATCGCGGGAGCGCAGGACAAGGTAAGTGCAGAAGAGATCCCGGAGCAACGCTGCAGTGTATTCCCGAGTGTAGGTCGGGGTTACCGCTTGTGGTGCTGAAACTTTACCCCGAGTTACACTCGGGAATACCGCCAGGGAGGTTAAGGAGGGGAGAGAAAGCAGTGCTGCTGCTCTCGGGCACAACGCTGGATCGAGATCGGGCAAGTAATTTAGGTGGGGGTGGCTGTTGGGAAACCTGACATGGAAAGGGTTGTTTTTTTTTTTTTCCTTAACCGTTTCAATACCGTGCAATTTTCCCCCCCCTCCTGCCCAGGCCAGTTTTCAGGTTTCAGCGCTCTCACACTTTGAATGACAATTGCGCGGTCATACAACATTGTACCCAAACTAAAATTTGATCATTTTCTTCACACAACTAGAGCTTTCTTTTGGTGGTATTTAATCACCGCTGGGGTTTTTATTTTTTGCTAAATTAACAAAAAAAGACCAAAAATTTTGAAAAAAAAAAACACCCACATTTTTCTTTGTTTCTGTTATAAAAGTTTACAAATAAATAATTGTTCTTCATAAATTTAGGCCGAGATGTATTCTGCTCCATGTCTTTGGTGAAAATAACCCAAATTAGGATGTATTATTTAGCTTGTAGGAAAGTTATAGAGTTCACAAACTATGGTATAGATCTGAAAATTGATCAATCCTGAAGTACTGACAGCCAATCTAATATCTTGAGGTCCAAGAATGTCAGAACGGTACAGATATCCCCCAAATGACCCCTTTTTGCAGATTAGACAGTCCGACGTACTTCATAAGAGGCATGGCGAGTTTTTTGAAGTTGTATTTTTTTGTCATAATTTTTAGGAAAATGAAAAAATTAAAAAAATTATTTTCACTATTTTTTTTTTTTTACATACTGTCACCAGTGCAGTACAGCGTCATCATATAACTGGCATGGCGGTGAACAGCGACACTGACTGGTGACAGTATGAAAAAAAAAAATATTATTTTTTTTTTTATTTTTTTATTATATTTAATTTTTTATTTTTTGTAAGATTTTTTTTCATATTTTACTATGACCAAAATAGTACAATGTTACCATAGTAACACTGTACTACTTTGGGGAAGTGATCAGTATTTTTTTTTTTTTTTTTTTTTTTTACACAATTTGCTTATAGCAAAGAATTACTTTGCTATAAGCAAGCATTTACCTGAATGAAATCGATTCATTCAGCTTTTTTTTTTTTTTTGTGCTTAGCTGTGATTTGGTCACAGCTAATCACATGACATGTGCATGTGATTAGCTGTGACCATTCACAGCTAGGCACTAGTATACAATGGATGGCATCATGAATGAAGCCATCCATTGTATACAACTGTCATGTGACCTGCTGTGATTGGTCACAGCAGGTCACATGGTACCGGCAACGGGAGCCGGTACTCGGATCTGTCATCGGCCGTGTCCGAGGTGCACGGGCGGTGACAGATCGCACTGCTGCGTCGCTCTGCAACCGCGCAAACCGCGCATGTGCGGGAGCACGCCAAATGGCGTGCACCCGGAAAGCTGCAGCGCTTTTCAAGCCGCCAAACGGCCATTGGCCGGGCGGCTAATGGTTAAAGTGATATTAAAAGGCTTAATTTTTCTTTTCTTTAAATAACAAACACATCCTACTTACCTGCACTCTGTAGTGGTTTTGCACAGAGCAGCCCAGATCCAGCAATGGCTCCTGCTGCTGTCTCAGGCAATGAGGAGAGGGAGTCCTGGGATTGCCGAGACTCCAGCGCACATCGCTGGATTGACAAGAAAGGAGGCTTAGGTGAGAAAGGAGGCTTCAGGTATAGAATGCCTGGCTGACAATCCTGGTTCCAATATTTTAAGTATCGAAATGAAACCTACAAGCAATCCTTTCAACAAATTACACAAGCACGGTCCTCTTATGGAAACCTGTCCTGGGAAATGCCATACAGCCATCACTGGAATATGTATAGTCATGAAGTAGCTGCAAAGAGGCCTCAGGAGATCAGACATTTTTTCCAAAAATGGTATCGGTATCGGGCGCACTCCTAGTGCACGGTTTGCATTGAATACAGAGCCATCACTACAAAACTGGAGTCACTTTACAAAACAGTGATTGCTGTATCTCCCACCTTTACAAACTCAAGGTACTCCATGTTGGTCCTCTCTCCGCCCAGTCTCACGGGAACCAGAATCAGAATGGATTTTTCACAGTCTGAGTTGCTCTGTTGGTTGTACACGTCTCCGCTGTAAACTGTTCACATTAAACAGGTAAATACTACATGAGAAAATGTACGGAGCAGAAGGCATACTCTCCAATCTACCACTGGAAAAGTCACATGTCAAAGCTAAAGTTTAATCCATTGACGCCGACGTAACAGAAATATGCGGCATCACAGAACTGGGCTTTTTTCCGTGGGGACGCATATTTGCGCACCTGTCTTTCTGCTGGTGCAATCTGCTGATCAGTTGCTTGATTACAAATCAAGCAACTGAACAGCAGATTGCACAGCTGAAGTCTGTCCCACCCAATGATCGGCAGGGAGGAGCATGTATGTCTTAACAGGTTACGGGGATGTGTCCTTTCATATAATGCTTGATGATGGAGAAACCCAAAGCAGTGGAAAGGCTGGCAATGACAGTACAGATCAGGAGCCACTGTAAGTAGAACTGGCTGGCCCATCCCCCAGAACCTTGCTGGGTGCTGAGATAATGTATTCCAGAATGCATGCACAACAGTTACATAAAAGGCCACCCGTGGTTGAGGCAAGAGGTCATTGGCCCCATAAGAAGAGGAGAACATGGCAGTGGTGAGAATAAAGTAGAATTGAGGAGCTCAGAAGAGAGCATTCCCAGAGGCAAAAAACACCATAATGTGTGAGTATTCAGTACTAAAAGCCATATTAGACTGTTTAAATTCTGCTAAAAATTTTTCCAGGTGTAGCTAAATAAATCTAGTGTGCGAAATCTTTATAGCGAAGTTCCAGCTGAAAAAATAAAGAAGTAAAAGTCAACAGCTACAAAAACTGTAGCTGCTGACTTTTAAAATACAGCCACTTACCTGTCCCTCGGTCCGGCGGTGTCCTCACCATGGCTGGTTTCACCGGTCGTCTTCTCTCCCTGGTGCCGGCATCTTCAGCGTGGGCACCCAGCTGTGACAGCTTGCGACTTCACAGCTGGGTACCCACTGCGCATGTGTGAGAAACGCTGCGCTTTGTGAATGGCCCCGCAGTCTTCTGGGACCTGTCCTGCTCCCCATTAAGGTGCCAATCCTTAATGGGGAGCGGGGAGTGAAGATTAAAGCTGAACTTCCCGTCCGCTTTAAGTTTGTTTTCTTTAGAAAGCAGCCACAGCATGCGAGTAAAAAAGCCTGTCCGCTTCCAGTAAACTCCAGAAAAGGCCCCTTTCTCTCTACGTGAAAGAAGTGGTCTCTCTTCAGGAGGTCTGAAATGGCCCTCCCTCGGTGGTTTATTTAGGTTTTGTGCCGCCCTAGGCAACGCAAAAAATCGAAGGCCCCCCCAAACCCCCCCACTCTGCGGAGAGAGCCTGATAAGACCAACAACACCCCTGCCCCCCATCTGAAAGAACCTTCCACTAACACACATCCCCCCCCCCTCTCCCCAGCGAGAGAGAGAGAAAGACTCACCTTCACAGCTTGGATATCCCTGGGAATGAGAGTCAGGCCCGCAGCTTCTCTCGGATTCCACCTGGTCCCTATGCCGCATGTGTCCCTTCTTCCAGGGAGCAATGCTGCCCCCCTGAAAAATGCCGCCCTAGGCAAATTCCCTGTTTGCCTTGCGGTAAATACCACTAATGCCCCTCCCTACTAACTCTGAAAATCAAGATCATGAACTTTGCTGATTGCAGAGCTATAGGTCTGGCAGAGGACGTGTTAGACCTCTGCGGACAGACCACTTCTTCCATAAAGATAGCATGGGCCTTACTCTGCAGCAGGCTGGCAGGGGACAGGCTTTTCTATAGTAGCTGTTTTCTAAGAAAACAAGACTTTTTTTGATGCAACTGGAATGTATTTAGCCAATTTAAAGTTTTTGTAAAAACCAACAATAAACTTCTATTGACACGCTTTTGGTCTGAAATATGAAAACAAACAGTTTTGTTCCATGTGTTCTATAAGTGCCAAGATACGCATCTACTAATCCTGCCAGAAGTTTTGTGAGCAGATGTCCGATGCTTCCACTAGGCAAACTAGACGGCCGCCTAGGCTGGCACTCTGTGGGATGCCGCCACGTCTTGAATGATCCTTCAGCTTAGGGAAGGGGGCATTTCTCCTAGATTGTAAGCTCGAAAGAGCAGGGCCCTCGATCCCCTCATGTTTTGCATTGTATTGGTATTGTTCTGTCACATGTTCTGTCCCCCTCTGTAATGTACAGCGCTGAGCGAACTATTGGCGCTTTATAAATACTGTATAATAATAAGAGGGGAAGGAAGAAAGGACAGAAAGCGTAAGATGCCGGGTGTCTGGGGCCAGTGTAGCAGGTGAGCTGCCACTCCTTCCAGTGTTCCTCTCAGACTCCGTCCCTTACTGCAAGCCGAATGACGGCGGATAATCACTGTGGAGTTCCAGCCCTTCTCTTCCCATTCATCAGAGGAGACGGGGCTGTGCCTGCGGTGGAAGGTAATGTCTGACTTGGATGTCTTGTGTGTGACCGGCCGGCCATCCATCACATGTGCAAAGTGTCAGTGAGTGATGACATCATCACGTTCCCACAGCCTGCTCTTCTAGTGTCTGCTGATCTGTGTCAGTGTTGGTGGTGTGTTCTGTTGGATCTGTCATTGTGTGGGATCGCTCAGTTCAGGTGTTCTCTATGTGTGTGGGCTGCCTGCTGTCACAGCGTTTTATCTCCCCCCATTGCCTGGGGAATTCAACCCTGGGATCTGTCAGAGCTATCTTATGGCACTTTAATTTTGCAAATTAAAAGAAATTTAGCAGTTTCAAGTTTTGTTGATTTAATATTTTCTATGTTTTTTAAACATTTTTATTCTTTATCTCTTTTTTGGGGGGGGGGGGGGGCGCAAGTAGATGATCTTGCCTAGAGCGCAAAATAGACTATCACCGGCCCCGCCTGCAGGTGAGGAAGAGGCATGAGGAGGGCCCATATGGGCAAGAACAGGGCCCATTTATTGTCAAAGGGCATGCGTGGAGGGCCCATATGGACAAGGGGGTGAGGTAGCCCATATGGACAGAGCTCTGTGTTCTTTGTAATCCATCAGAAATAAAGTAGGCAGGGCTGCCACCACATGCTAGAATGTCAGAGTTAGAAATACACGGTTTTCATGACAGGCAGGGAGGTAGGAGCCAGGGGCGGACTGACCATTTGGAAGCTCGGGCACTGCCCCACGGCCTGGGATCAGTAGGGGGCCCCATGAGATGCCCCTGGTACCTTTTTCATAGGCTTTTTTGAGTTTGGGCAAAGACACAGGGGCCCCATGATCCCCTATTGCCCGGGGGCCCCCCACGAGTTGTCAGTCCGCCCCTGGTAGGAGCACACTATCACAGGCACAGCAGTTATTTTCCTAAACATGCAGCATATTTAAAAGGGATAAAATGTAAAGAAATGTTCATGTATTGCAGATTTTGTTTTTATTTTTGCCTCAACATACAGTTTAAACTTTGAGTTAAATCTCAACTTAAATACAAAAGTACATGTTCATTGAGAATAAACGGGTAATGTTTTTTTTTTTTTTTTTTTTTTTTTCAGTTTTTGTGGAAATCACTTACTCGTACAGTCCTGAGCAACATAAATCGTGATCCCTCGCAGCTCTGGGTCTACAGACTCTTCAATTGCTTTTCTGGGAAAGGAAACAAAAAGTTAACTTTACACAGGCGATCTTGTGATCCACACACCCCTGCTGAACAGCACAGCCAGGTCTCACACTTATGCCCCGTATACAAGAAAATCGTACAAAAAATTTCGCAGAAGAACCACCGATCGAACTATTTTCTCTTTGTCGATGAGCGGGATGTTTTAACCGATAACGATATTGTGAACGAAAAAATCCGGTTTAACAACAGTAAAAAATGTTGTTGTTTTGCATACGAACGACCGATTTTCTATGCGGTGGTATGACGGTCGTACGAAGAAAAAAATAAATCTATCAAGCGCTATCACGCATGAGCGGAAACAGAAGATGACCCGGATGTTTATGTCCGAGGAATCTTCGGAAACACGAATGAAAAATCCAAATGTTAAAAGTAGATCGGCCTGATGAGATCATGAAAGCAGAATTCTGCAGATTATATTTTATGTATCACTATTTATGTATATAGGTCATGTAATAAACTAGAATTGTTGTGTATATCGCTCACTCTGGCCGGAAGGGCGTGGCTTCAAGGTCAGACGCACACTGCATCACTTCCACTGCGTATTGCCCGACAAACGATTTTTTTAGATTGGTTAATATGGGCCACGATTTTGACCAACGAACGAACGCCTCTCGGTTGTCTGATGACCGATCGGTCGATTTTCTAATCGTGTATTCCCACCTTTAGACTTCTCTGCAGACAACATTGTAGTTATGCCTGCCATAGACGGGTCGAAAATCATCCAATTTTTCGGGCCGGGGGAAAAAAAAAAATAAAAAATTGGTCGATTTTTGCACAGTTACTGGATTAATTGGTCGGTCGTTTTTCAGGCTTTTTGCACATTTTTTTTTATCGGGCATGTTGGAAAATTTGCCAATTTTCCCAGCAATGATGGAGGAGGAAGAGGAAGAGGGGGGGAGGAGGATGAGGAGGGAGGATGACGACGAGTGGAGGAGGACGACGACGAGTGGAGGAGGACGACGACGAGTGGAGGAGGACGAGACGACGAGTGGAGGAGGAGGAGGACGAGAAGGAGGAGGAGGACGAGAAGGAGGAGGAGGACGAGAAGGAGGAGGAGGACGAGAAGGAGGAGGAGGACGAGAAGGAGGAGGAGGACGAGAAGAAGGCGGAGGAGGACGAGAAGGAGGAGGACGACGAGAAGGAGGAGGAGGAGAATTCCAGTCCGCTATTATATTTTATATGAAAAAGTCTTGCAGTTGCAACAATGTATCCATTTGTATCCAAATAAAACCATCTGTATCCGAAATGGACACATTGTTGCAACCGCAAGACTTTTTCATATAAAATATAATAGCGGAGCTCTCTGCAAGGGACAGAAGTAATTATGGGGTTAAATGCCGGCTGTAGATGGGACGAATATCGGCCATTTTTTTACCGTTGGTGGTAATCAAATGACCAATTTTTAGTTTTTTTTAAAAAAGACCAGTTTTCGACCTGTCTATGGCCTGCTTTAAGCTAGTCATCCTGGTCTTAGCCCCACCCCAGCCTGTGATTGGACAGTGCAAGAGCAGAGTCAGACATGACCTCAGTCAACCCTGTGCCCTTCTCTCCTTTAAGCCACAAAGCAATGATTGGCTCATTGCGGCCTCGCCTTCTCCTTGTCCTGAGTATAGTACAGGAACTTGGACACTTAATTTTGGACTTTTTATTTTTTTTTATTAATTTTTTATTTATAATTTTATTGTTTGATACATTTGATTTAAGGGGTTTTTTGAGTTTCACAAAGAGAAAAGGTTTTAGTATTAATTTTGCTTTCATGGGTGAAAGTGTGACTTTTCTTGGGGGTGTTTATAGTGAGAGTTTATGAATTTAAGTCCCCAGACTGTCCCTTTATATCCCAAAGATCTCATTAGCTCAGTCATATTCAAGCCAGACTCAAATCTTACCTCAAGAGGTGAGATACTATGGCTGGGCCATACCAGTCACCGGCAGCTTTGCCAGAACTCTTGCCAAGCTTGATCAGCTGATGTATACCAAAGTCAGCCAAGGGGTGGTCTGCAAACCAGGAGATTATCTTCTTGTGGTAGAACTCAGCTTGGTTATTCTCATCATAGTCTTTGATCTGTAGTGGTTTGCTAGAGGTGGTCCCATAGTTGATATGGTCAACATACGATGCCTCAGTTGGAGCAAGCTTTCTTGTGCTGTTACCCGACCAGAAGTCTGCCTCAGGGCTGTAAATGTCTAGGGCACAGGGCCATAGCCAATCTTTAGGAGGGAAATAAAAGAAATAAAAAGAAAACAAAAAAACACATACGTGTAATAAAATCTTAAAAAAAAAAAAAAAAAAAAAAAAAAAAAAGAAGAGGGCATAAAAAAGACAAATGCACAACACGTATGTTGAATGCATTTAACTGATTTTACCGTATTTTCCGGCGTATAAGACGACTTTTTACCCCTTGAAAATCTTCTCAAAAGTCGGGGGTCGTCTTATATGCCTGGTAACGGCATGCTGACACTTTTTAGGGGATCGGCGCGGTGCTGCCGCCGCCCCCCCCCCCCCTTCCAATGGAAGGGACACTAAGTACAGGGGTGGGCAGGGGCTGCTGTCTCTTACCTGGCTCCGATCCCATGACGATCCGGTCCAGGAAGCACGGCTGCTATTTCATTCAGTTCGTCCACTGGATGTTTGCGCGGCTGCTCGGCTCCGCCTCCTCACCGGTGATTGGCCGCCAGAACTGTAGCTCAGGAAAGGCACACAGGCGGCCAAATCACCGGCGAGGAGGCGGAGCTGAGCGGCCCCGCGAAAATCTAGTGAAGGAGATGCAGGTAAGTGTGCCGTGCTTAGGTGCTGCTGCAACCACATATGCTGGCTGCAGCAGCATCATACTGGAACAGGGGGTCAGCAAGTGTCAGTGGGAGGAATAGTGCCCCATTCATTGGTGTCACTGATACCAATGATGGGGCATTATTCCTCCCACTGACACCAACGATGGGGCACTTTTCCTCTCCCCCACTGACACCAATGATGGGGCACTATTCCTCCCACTGACACCAATGATGGGGCACTATTCCTCCCACTGACACCAATGATGGGGCACTATTCCTCCCAATGATAGGGCACTATTCCTCCCACTGACACCAATGATGGGGTGCTATTCCCCCCACTGATACTAATGATTGGGCACTATTCCTGCCACTGATACCAATAATGGGGCACGATTCCTCCCACTGACACCAATGATGGGGCACAATTCTCCCCCACTGACACCAATGATGGGGCACAATTCCTCCCACTGACACCAATGATGGGGCACACAATTCCTCCCACTGACACCAATGATGGGGCACAATTCCTCCCACTGACACCAATGATGGGGCACAATTCCTCCCACTGACACCAATGATGGGGCACTATTCCTCCCACTGACACCAATGATGGGGTGCTATTACTCCCACTGACACCAATGATGGGGCACTATTCCTCCCACTAATACCAATGATGGGGCACTATTCCTCCCACTGACACCAATGATGGGGCACGATTCTTACCACTGGTGTGCACTGGAAGAGGGGTAGTCTTATACGGCGAGTATAGCCCAAACACTACATTTTAACAGGAAAAGTAGGGGGCGTCGTCTTATACGCGGGAAAATACGGTAAATTGAAAGTTCACTTGAGCGTCAAATATGAGCAGTGTTGGAGGGTGCATGGTGAACCCTCAAACAGGGAAAAGGCGAGAACATTAATACAATGAAATATGTGAATGGCAATCTTAATATAACGAATGCTGCAGAGGCCATTTTAACTTGCTGAGGGGTTGGCTGTCCCATTTTTTTAAAAGCAAAAATTGCTGTAAAATACAAGACCTGCTTAGTAGTTCCGGGTCCCCTCCACACATAATCACCATCTAGTTGTACTAGAAAAAAGGTACCCATAGGTATATACTTTCCCTCACCCTTTCTTCCGCATTGCAGAGTGTGATGTTGATAATCCTGAATTCTTGCCAAAAGGCTAACGATGGGCACCCTAAATCTTACAAGATGAAGCTCCAGTCCGGAGAAAGTACAGCCCAGTCTTGTGAGATTTGAACATATCTGTATTCCACCATAAGGAGAGTGAGCTCACCTTTGCCCAAGTGCTGAAGACAAGAATATGGCCAGTATATAATTCACTTTTTGATCATTTTGATCATTAGCACCAAATTTATTTATTTATTTTCAACACTCACAGGGTAGGTGCCTGGATCTAATAAGTAAAAACTTAACTTGAATTTTACTGCAAAGGTCTGCTTTAATGGGAAACCCAGTAAATAAGACTCAGTTTAGCAAAAAATACACTTCACAATTACTATATAAACTCCCAATGGACCACGAATGCAAATAACCAGTAAAACAGTGTATCTGAATAGCAAATGTTCAATACACCCCCCCCCCCCCCCCCCCCCCCCCCCCGCACCAAACTTTCTATAGAGTCAAGGATGGTTAAGACCCGTTTTGTCATTTGTGTCCTATTTGAGAGAGATTTCCCTTCATTTCCTGTTCTGCACACAAGTGAAAGGAAATCTCTCCAAATTGAAGGAAACGCCCTCTTAGCCCTCTTTTCCTTCTATTCTTGTTCCAATGACAACTCGAAAATTTGGATTTTCCATTACTTTTAGTCCCAGAACAGTGCTGACCAGGACAAAGGAAGTCTTACTAACAGGGATGCAAAATAAAAACCTGACAAAGGTTTCAAGCCTTCACCACTATCCAAAACCATAAAAAGGTAGGCTTAATCAATGTAAATCCTTTTAGATTACACAAAACGTTGTTGAATGTTGGAAATTTAGAGAAGCTTCTTAAACTTTGTCCCAGAGGAACCCTTGTAATAATTTTCAGATCTTGGGGTACCCTACTAATACAGATTCATTAGTGGTCAGTGGGAAAAAAAAATGCCCCTGACATGGAGGGTCAGTGGTAAAAGTCAGAATACCACCCTTACAGACAGCTAAAAAGCTCATTGGTATCATGTTGCTTTGCTCTGCTAAGTAGTATTGGCCCCAGAACCATCAAATTGGAAGTCAAACAGAAACAGTTCAAGGAAATCCTTGCAACCTCTGGAGGAACCACGAGTAAGAATGGCCGATTTAGACTACGCTACATCGTTTTTTCTATGCTGCACCTAAACACTTACATCTTATGAACTTTATAGCAGCCCTCAAAATTTCCCCTCGCCTGCTCGTATTGGGCGAGTGGAAATATGGAGGCGAGCAGCGCCTGGACTAGTGGTGGGTGGGAGAGGTGTCAGCGGGGGCAGTTACAAAACACCAATCTCACTGTATGGCTTTCAATGAAGCCGCTTCTCCTCCTCTCCCTTCCGTGGCTTTCAGCCGCTTCATTGAAAGCCAAACAGGGAGATCGGTCCTTGTAACTACCCCCACTGTTGCACCAATCATCCCCGATCCTTCAGTTTCTTTCTGGGACCCCCTGTGTGCTCCTCAGTGCCCAGCCCCCCCCCCCCCCCCATCCTTCACACCAATAGGAGAGAGGCTGGATCTGCTCTGCCTCTCCCTGTGCTCAGACACTCCAGTCCATGCTGTGCAGAAGAGGATGTGCAGGTGGGAAATTGTGTACAGAGCAGCAGCCGGCATCCCTGTGATGCTGCTGACTGAGCATGTGAGCTGGGAACCATCCATGTGAGTCCGACCTTCCCTCCTTCCACCCCCTCCCTTCCTTCACTCCCTTCTTTTCCTCCCTCCCTTCACTCCTTTTCCTTCCATCCCTCCCTTCTCCTCCTTCCTTCCCTCAATTTCCTCCCTTCACTCCTTTCCTTTCCTGTCCTCCCCTCCCTTCATTCGGCATAAAACATTTAACCGTGTAATTTCATGAGAACGAGAGGCGTGTTTAGGGGTGGAATTAGGGGCAGGGCAACTGGTGACAAGCAGCTTAAGTCCTCACTAGTAGCTCAGGATTTGAAATTTTGAGCCCTGTTTATAGAACATTGATAGAAACTCTCATACAAACAGAAGAGATCTCATCACACCTACCTCGTCCAATAAAATGAACTAGTAGTCCCTGAGCCAGCAGCATTTGTCCAGTCCGCAAAGTGCAGCCCCAACCGCAGTCTGTTGTCCATGTTGACCCCTCCAATTGGGGGAACTCCTCTCTGTATGTCAGCCATATCCTGGAGATAAAGTCCTTTCGGAACTCCTCCACTGTACCACATGCATCTCCATTAGCCACCGTCTTGGTCTCCGAGACATCAGGAAAGACCTCACTAGAGTCTGTAAAACAAAGCTTCATTGGTTATGCAATTTGGAGGTAGGGCGATTGCACAGCAAAAAAACCCCAGAAAACCAGAAAGGACCCCCCAAACAATTTTGTTTGATATACAGATCATGCACACAGGTTTCTTTGTAAGCGGCTAGTCTTTGGTAGTGCCCTGGCATGTTCTAACTCTACAGGCATGCCTAGACACAAAAGTGGACATCTAACAGTGTACCTGGGTGTCACCAAAATCAATTCTCTCCTAACACAAGGTACCTGATGGTACCTACTGTGAGGGGTTAGTATTCATTGAAACCAACCACAGCCTGAAAATATTTACCTATTCTAGCCTTACCAAGCCTTCATTAACCTTCGTAGCTGCAGTCACAATGGAAAGTTCTCAGTTTTACCTTCACCCATCTCTCTGTATTTCAGCACTCCCCTCCCAGCAGTGACTTGGCAGCCTGCTAGCCTTCTTATTTTCAATGTAAGCACAGGACGCGGGAGAGAGAACAGAGTGCCCAGATGGAACACTAAGGACTTCACCGTTGAACTTTGAGAATGAATTGCTCCACAGTGTCTGCAGCTAGAGGCCATTTAGTATTAAATAGACAAAGAAACCATTTTAATAGTTTACAGAGCTGAAAACTCTGGTGTTTAAACCAGCCAAGGCCTGCCTCCTCCCAAATCTTACTGTTGATCCATAACCACGATGGGTGGTCTAATGATCAATAGTGAGAACAGACCAGAGATAGGAGGTTGGAAGCGGAAATCCATATGTGCATAAAAGAGCACACCAAGTTCAAGGCTCCAAGGCTTTATTCAAGGTTTTTGCATTCTATTCATAGAGCAAAGATTAGGTGGTTTACATTACCGACATTTTTTTTCTGAAGCTGAATGCCAAACAATCGGCAACAGTGTCACCAGTCTAAAGTGGACCATACATGGCTTCATTTCTCTTTCAGCACATGGCTTGATTTATCATGTTCAGCCTGTGAGAGAAAATCAATGGATTCCTCCATCCACACTAATCTAATGCCAGCTATTATATTCAGGTAGCCACAACAGCAGTGGCTGGCTGAATACCCAAAGAGTGACTGCATCTAATAAGATACATCCAACGTTTACCTGATAAATTCCACCAAGCTCAAATCGATTTTTATACCAATTTTTGTCGAGCTGGGCTGGTCTTCCACAACTTCCTGTGGGTCCATTATAATAGGTGGTCTTACTGGCCAACAGGAAAATGTGGGAGGGAAGATGGCAGGCCTATAAAAACAGTCAGCCATGTGCAGGCACGAGCTGTAGTCGGTTGAGTACCTGAGTACCATTATTTTATAACCACTTGCGTTCTGGATGGTTTTACTCCCTTCATGACCAGGCCATTTTGCCATTTAGCGTTGTGCTACTTCAATTGTTTGGTCATGCAACACTGTACCCAAATGAAGTTAAAATATTTTTTCACACCGAGTGCTTTTTTGGTGGCATTTGATCACCACTGTTTTTTTATTTTTTACTATATAAAACGAAAAAAAAAAATACAAATTAAAAAGACCAAACATTTTGAAAAAATATTATAAAAAATATGGCATATATGCTGGAATTTTTTAATTTTTTTTTTTTATACTAGTAATGGCGGTGATCATTGCCTTACAGTGGGACTGTGATAGACAATCTGTCACCAACTGAGGTCATCACAGAGGACAAGGGGGCACTCTTTAGGCTGGAGGAAAAGAAATTTAATCTCCAAACACGGAAAGGTTTCTTCAGTGAGAGCTGTGAAAATGTGGAATAGACTCCCTCAAGAGTTGGTTCTGGCCAGCTCAGTGGATTGCTTCAAAAAAGTCCTGGATTCTTCCTTGGATACATCGAATATAACTGGATATAACATTTATAGGTAAAGTTGATCCAGGGAATATCGATTGCCTCTCGGGGGATCAGGAAGGAATTTTTTTCCCTGCAGGAGCAAATTGGGTCATGCTTTGCTGGGTTTTTTTGCCTTCCTCTGGATCAACTGTGGGTGTAGGATTATAACTTTTTTTTTTTTTTTTTTTAAATGGTTGAACTGGATGGACTTTTGTCTTTTTTCAGCCAGACTATGTAACTGACACTGGTTGGGACATGACTGACACTGACGTCACCAGTTCCACTAATACAGTAATCAGTGCTACGGTAATACTATACACTGTCACTGCACTAATGACACTGGCTGGGAAAGGATTAACATCTCGGGGTAATCAAGGGGTTGTGTGCCTAACAAGTGTTAATGTGTGTAGTAAGTGCTGCAATTTACTAAAAAACTAACACTGTTCAGAGCCCTATACTGTCAAAAAGTGGATAGACTGATTTACACGCACACGCGCACCACCTGAACCCAGAAGAAGGCAGCGACGTACAGGTATGTCCCGATGCCTATAGGAGCCACCCATCTGCAGTGCAATGCGGGTTGGGGGCCTAAAGTGGATAAAAAAAAAATAATAATTTACATCAAAAACACGCCGAACTGTATTCAAGAGAATTTTCTGCTCTTGGTGTCCCAAAGATGAAGTGTTGGTGTCCTCGGTTAGCCCAGAGCACATCTGCAGACTCTCCAAATGGCATAATGTAGACTGCCAATTGTTGTCAAAGATGTGATTGAATAAGACGAGCAAGACAAATACAAGTCAAAGTTCATCATTTCATTGTCCTGCACAGGTCTAAACACGTCAGAAGAAACTCATCAAGCCAGAAGTTCATCTAAAGCCATTTTTTTCCCCCCATACAGCAGTGTAGTATACTATAGCATTTTAGCTACAGTTGTAGTATATAGTATAGCCGTATATGTAAAGGATTCCTTTTACATACAAGGGCTGTATCGAAAGTAATGCACAAGTGGGCGTAACTTTTATTAACGTACATAAGTCATTCAAAATTTCACATTAGTAGAGTAACTCTACCTCTATAGCAGGGGTCTCCAAACTGCAGCCCGAGGGCCGAATGTGGCCCTTTGCTTGCCTTTATCCAGCCCTTGGGGCACTATTCCTCCCAATGATATGAAGCAGTATTCCTCCCACTGACACAAACAATGGGGCACGATTTCTTCCACTGATAGCACTTATGGGGTACTATGCCTCCCATTAATACCAATGATGGGGCATTACGCTTCCTCCTACTGACCACCATCCCTGAGGCCATGTTTATTCTCACTGGTGCTGGTCCTGAAACATTTTCTCTACCCCCATTGGTTAACAGCAGTTTTATGGCGCTGGAAAATATCTAATCAGAAAATACCCATAAAAACATCCATAAAATAAAAAGTTGTAAAGTACATGTATTTCAGAAACATTTCATACTTCCTGTTTAACAAAGCTCAGTGTTCACAGCATCTTCTGAGACTTACCTTCAAGTTTGAAGTGGTAGCATTTCCCAAGCAAAAACACTGGTGAATTCCGCCTAAAATAGGTTCTTGTCCTGAGGACCCAGCCTAAAAGAACAAGGAAAATTATATGAAACACTTCCTTCTCTGGGTCCAAGGCGTGCATCTGTCAGACAGGATACAAAAAAAAGAATCTCCAAATAAGTTTCTGAATTCCCAAGGATTACTAGAACTGGCAGTTCAATAGTAATTCACGGAGATCCACTGTTGGGAGCCCTAAGAACCTAGGCAAACCTAAAGTAAGTGACACAGTGGGGTTTATTTACTAAAGCTGAAGAGTGCAAAATCAGACTCCCTTCTGCATAGAAACCAATCAGCTTCCAGGTTTCATTGCCAAAGCTTCATTGAACAAGCTGAGGTTAGAAGCTGATTGGTTTCTATGCAGAAGGGAGTCTGATTTTGGACTCTCCAGCTTTAGTAAATAAACCCCAGTAAGTCAGATATGAAAGGAGGGTGGACATCTCCATTCTAGGAGAGACTTTTTTGGGTTACGGATGGCAGAATGGTCACGGTATATATTGGAACTCAGAGGAGGAAATAATTAAAATGATGTCCCCTAGCTGATGCAGAATACAACTCTCTCTTTGTCAAAAATAAAGGATTACTTTGTGTGTCTGAAGGTTCTGAATTATCCAGGTCTTAGTAGATCTAGTAGGTGTTCCAACGCACTCAGCTGGACTTGCTCTGGGAGTTCCAACGCACTCAGCTGGACTTGCTCTGTGGGAGTTCCAACGCACTCAGCTGGACTTGCTCTGTGGGAGTTCCAACGCACTCAGCTGGACTTGCTCTGTGGGAGTTCCAACGCACTCAGCTGGACTTGCTCTGTGGGAGTTCCAACGCACTCAGCTGGACTTGCTCTGTGGGAGTTCCAACGCACTCAGCTGGACTTGCTCTGTGGGAGTTCCAACGCACTCAGCTGGACTGCTCTGTGGGAGTTCCAACGCACTCAGCTGGACCTGCTCTGTGGGAGTTCCAACGCACTCAGCTGGACTGCTCTGTGGGAGTTTCCATCGCACTCAGCTGGACCTGCTCTGTGGGAGTTCCATCGCACTCAGCTGGACCTGCTCTGTGGGAGTTCCATCGCACTCAGCTGGACCTGCTCTGTGGGAGTTTCCATCGCACTCAGCTGGACCTGCTCTGTGGGAGTTCCATCGCACTCAGCTGGACCTGCTCTGTGGGAGTTCCATCGCACTCAGCTGGACCTGCTCTGTGGGAGTTCCATCGCACTCAGCTGGACCTGCTCTGTGGGAGTTCCATCGCACTCAGCTGACCTGCTCTGTGGGAGTTCCATCGCACTCAGCTGGACCTGCTCTGTGGGAGTTCCATCGCACTCAGCTGGACCTGCTCTGTGGGAGTTCCATCGCACTCAGCTGGACCTGCTCTGTGGGAGTTCCATCGCACTCAGCTGGACCTGCTCTGTGGGAGTTCCATCGCACTCAGCTGGACCTGTTGGCTCTGTGGGGAGTTCCATCGCACTCAGCTGGACCTGCTCTGTGGGAGTTCCATCGCACTCAGCTGGACCTGCTCTGTGGGAGTTCCATCGCACTCAGCTGGACCTGCTCTGTGGGAGTTTCCAGCTCGCACTCAGCTGGACCTGCTCTGTGGGAGTTCCATCGCACTCAGCTGGACCTGCTCTGTGGGAGTTCCATCGCACTCAGCTGGACCTGCTCTGTGGGAGTTCCATCGCACTCAGCTGGACCTGCTCTGTGGGAGTTCCATCGCACTCAGCTGGACCTGCTCTGTGGGAGTTTCCATCGCACTCAGCTGGACCTGCTCTGTGGGAGTTCCATCGCACTCAGCTGGACCTGCTCTGTGGGGAGTTCCATCGCACTCAGCTGGACCTGCTCTGTGGGAGTTCCATCGCACTCAGCTGGACTTGTTCTGTGGGAGTTCCATCGCACTCAGCTGGACTTGTTCTGTGGGAGTTCCATCGCATTCAACTGGACTTGTGCTGTGGGAGTTCCATCACACTCAACTGGACTTGTTCTGTAATGTTGAAGAGGTTTTGTAGCTTCTCAAAGCCATGTCCTTTGTTCTAATGAGTGTCAGAAACATTCCCCAGCATTTATATAGTAGCACACCATCACCATGGACTGTGTCAAGGCAGATGCTTATTGCCCAAGAAAAAGGATGTGAGTTGAGACCACCTTGTTCTACTGTACATACTCTTATCCCTGGTGTCAGAAGTCTGCATGGGTGTTAATCCTCTGATTGACATGACTATAGGTAGGAATTTTTATAAAATGGCCAGGATAGAGAACGTTAAAATTGGCATTATTTGTGGATTACTTCCCCTACAGTCCTGCAACAACTGGCAGTCTGTTCCTGCACTCTCCAATGCTAGAATGTGGGCAAGCACTCCTACATTGTCAAACACAATACAGTATCATTAGAGGCCATTGGTCCTTCATTGTACGCAATGATATTAACATGGAAAAGCACTCGGAGACCAGCAAGAAAAGAGGTTTCAGTGGACTGGTCTTCAAAGCCAAAGCAGACTGCTGGACCAAGGAGTAAGGCATGCCGTTCTGTTTTAACTCATTCCCTAGAAAAAAAAGTATTTTGTTCTCCATCAGTTATGAAGGGATGATATTAAAGGTTTGATTTTTGCTATATTTAGACTATAAAATTACAACAGCCACTATTTTATTCTACAGGGCCTCTGCATTCAGAAAACAATTGGAGACTTAAATCCATTTCCAGTCAAAAAAAAAAGCAGATTTTGACATACTATATGTGGGAAAAATTAATTTTCCAATTCTTCTGTTTTGTGCAAAGTGTGTAATGGAATCTCATTTATAGAATATCCTGCCGTAGATTTAAAAAATCGACTCACTATACTTCACATTATGCCACGCAGATAAAAAACGAGACTTCAGTTTATCCACATCATCTGAGGCACTGGCTTCCATATTCGCCACTTGAAAATAAACCCATGCTCTGCTGAGTACGGAGAGGCAAATACCTAAAAGAAAAAACAGAAACAAAAAACTTAATTTTTTCAATGATTTGGGCACAACATACAAGATATTTATTGCTTCACTAATGTGACTGCGGTGGTTAATTTTATAGTGCCAAGATGTATAGTATATCCAAACCCAATTCCTAAAATCGCAAAAGCATCAACATGGTAAATATTTCCCCTGCCCCCATACAATCTCCCCACAATCTCCTATCCCCCCCCCCCCCCCCCCCCCATACCCTTGTTCCTGTAATAGGGCGACCACCATCTCCCACTTGTGACCTCTCGCCATTTCAAACCTACCCCCCCCATATCCTTTACCCTCTATCTATTTCCATCCTCCCCCCACCATCTCTGATCCCCAGATAGCCCCTCTCCAGCATCTCCGATCCCCAAATATTCTCTCCCCACCACCTTAGATCCATGCACCAGCCACTTTCCTTTGTTTAATTGCCCCCTCCCCCCCCCCCCCATTCCAATCCCCACTGTCTCCATTTTCCGATACCCTCTTCCCAAGTCTCCCTCTGTCTCCGATTACCCGAAACCCTCTCCACCATCTGATCCCCACTGCCTCTATTGCCGATCTCCCAATATGCTCTCCCTACTATCTCTAATCCCCTGACCACCTTCGCCACTATCCCTTTTGTCCCCAATCCTGCCCCCTCAATCCCTTTCCCCCTACTCCTTCTCAGTCTCTGAGACCCCAATCTCCCCTCTCCAATACCATCTTCTCCCTGACCTTTCCTTCCCCACTACCACTTGGTCTTCAAACCCCCCCCCCCCCCCATTTCCACTTCCCCTCGTCTCCAATTCCCCCCCCCCCCCCACTTCTCCTTGTCTACAATCACCCCCCATTTCCTCTCCCCACTTCCTCTTGTCTTTCAATCCCTTCTCCCCACTTCCCCTTGTTCTACGATCCCCTCTCCTCACTTACCCTTGGTCTCCCATCCCCAATACCATCTTCCCCTCTGTCTCTGATCTTTTGATTCCTTCTCTTCACAGTCTCCAGTCCCCCAATCTTTCCCTACTACCACTTGGCCTTCAATCCCCCCCCCTTCCCCCTCAACACACTTCCCCATGTCTCCAATCCCCCCCCCCCCCCCCCCCTTCCCATATTCCTTCTCCCCACTTCCCCTTGTCTCCAATCCCCTCACCCCACTTCCCCTTGTCTCCAATTACCTCCCCCATTCCTTCTCCCCACTTGGCCTACGATCCCCTCCACCTCCCCTTCTCTCCAATCCCCCCCCCCCAAACACACGCTTTCCTTTGTCTCCAATCACTTCTTCCACTCCTTCTCCCCACTTGGTCTCCGCTCCCCTCCACTTCCCAATGGTCTCCAATCCCCTCTCTCTACTTTCCCTTGTCTCCGATCCCCCCGATCCCACACACGTCCCCTTTTCTCCAAAACCCCCACACTCCCCCTTGATCTAAGATCCCACTTCCCCTTGTCTCCAATCACCCCAAACCCTCTCTCCCCACTCCCTTGTGTTTTCAAACCCTCAATCTTCTCCCCTAAACGTATCTTCCATATACTCCATTAGGTTTTTAGTCTATCTTTCCATATCCTTGTCTTTCTAAACACCCACAGGCCGAATGAGTGCTCACGCTTCCCCTCCATGCACTGTATGGTTCACTTCAACAAAATATTCAGAATTCCTAAATTATACCACAAAATCAATATTTAGCTCCTAAAAACACGCCTTGTTGTGATAAAAATCTCTTACAATATATTCCAATGTCCAGTTCTATTTTTCAGCACTCATCTATGACCCAGAAGTGTGCTGGTTTATGGATTTCCCTTTCCTTCTATTTAAAAATAAAGTTTTAAAAAATTCTGGATTCTTCGACAGTCTCTCATTACCACAATAATTTCTGAAAGGCTACAGTTCCCTTTTACCTTCCACTTCTGAAAAATTATTGTGTAGTTGCTAGCAACATTACAATGGTTTATTATTTTGGCTACAATGTTTTAAAAAGAAAAAAAATACAACTTTATTTTCTTTATGAGCAATTGGGGGAAGTGATTATCACTCTTGCAGCAGAGTCAGAGGTCAACGAGCAAGTATCATGTAGCCGGGTCAGACATGAGATTACGCAGAAAGTCACAGAGTCACTTTGTCCATTGAGGAAATGAAAGAGCGTGATCTTACACCATCCCTGGAACATGATCATCTGCTGTACAAACACAACATGTGCTGATCATCCCGACTTTGAATACACAATGTAGGGGATTGGAGGCTAAAAAATGAAGCAAAACTAAACAAGAATCCTCTGCAGATTCACAAGCCCAGATGAAGGAAGGGATACAGATATGATTGGCAGTCACTACCATAGGTCTGAAGGGGCTGGTATGGGTGATGCAGGGCTTGGTCACAAGGGGTAGGCAGAAGAGGCAGCTGCCTTGGGATGGGAGCAAAAAAAGCAAGAACTGCAAATTTTATTGCTGGTGTAGTTCACAGTTCATGGGGGGAGGGGTGCACTTTGAGCTTTTTGCCTTGTGTGCTAAAAGACCTTGTCCCGACATTGATTGACTGGAGCAAAGGGAGTGTGGTGGGTGCTCCCAACTGGGGTGTTGGTTACTTTGGGAACAGAGGGGGTTATCTTGTGTGCAGAGAGGACTATTTGTCCTCAAAATGCTATTAGAAGTGGGCTGTAGGTAGTGGTAGTAAAATCGGGGTGGCCGCCTAAGATTCCCACCTGCCTGCTGACCAGTAAACTAGATGGGAGGTTAGCGACCTTCACTTAGTTGCTTTCCCATACCCCCAGCCTGCTCTCTCTACCACTATGGAGACCAAGATGGTCTTTGGATCACAGGATGAATATCAAGTGATACATCATCAGTTGGCTTGATGGGACTCAAAATGTCGATTAAAGCTCCATGTTGATCTTACTCTGAGTTGGAGGCTTGTTCAAAATGCCCATGAAAAGCTCTACCACTACCAATACATAAAATCGTGGTGGCCGCCTAAGATTCCCACCTGCCTGTTGACCAGCAAAATAGATTGGAGGTTAGTGACCTTCACTTAGTTGCTTTCCCAAACCCCCAGCCTACTCTCTCTACCACTATGGAGGTCAAGGTTTTCTTTGGATCACAGGATGAATATCAAGTGATACATCAGTTGGCTTGATGGGACTCAAAATGCCCATGAAAAGCTCTACCAATACATAAAATCAGGGTGGCTGCCTAAGATTCCCACCTGCCTGCTGACCAGTAAACTAGATGGGAGGTTAGTGACCTTCACTTAGTTGCTTTCCCAAACCCCCAGCCTGCTCTACCACTATGGAGGTCAAGATGGTCTTTGGATTGCAGGATGAATATCAAGTGATACATCATTAGTTGGCTTGATGGGACTCAAAATGCCCATGAAAAGCTCTACCACTACCAATAAATAAAATCGGGGTGGCCGCCTAAGATTCCCACCTGCCTGCTGACCGGTAAACTAGATGGGAGGTTAGCGACCTTCACTTAGTTGCTTTCCCAAACCCCCAGCCTGCTCTCTCTACCACTATGGAGGTCAAGATGGTCTTTGGATTGCAGGATGAATATCAAGTGATACATCATCAGTTGGCTTGATGGGACTCAAAGTGCCCATGAAAAGCTCCATGTTGATCTTACTCTGAGTTGGAGGCTTGTTTCCTTCTCTCTACGTTCTTCTGGCTCCCTCTTTAGTCCACAAGGATGCATTGGTTGCCAACACGGCCCTTCTACCCCAGTGTCTGCCAGTCTTCTCACAACCATAAACTGGAGTGTTCATTCCCAGGTACGGGAAAATATAAATTTCCAGATATTATGTAGGGCCTACAGTTTAAGAATAGCTTTACAATACAGAAGATAGTACAGAAGGGTTAGGAGGGCCTTGAACAGGAGAGCTTACAATAGAAAATGTGGATAAACATGATCAATCAGCCTACATATCGCAAGCATCCCATATTTTTCTCCAGTGTTGCATACTGCAAAGGGGTTACAGTAGTGACATTCGTATGCAGGAGGTTTCAATGGATCCTGATTCATGGCCAAGAATGACCTGCAGGAGCTTGTATTGCCAGATACATAACCTTCACCTCTGTATGTTGCTTGTAGTGGTAGCTTTGGGTGGCCATGGCAGAAGATGGATGGGCAATTGGCTCCAGGGGGAATGGATAAGGTACAGGGGCAACAAAGTTTGGGGGAGCAGGAATTGCCAGGAAAGCAGCAGCGAGGAGGGCAGGATATCCATCCCTTACCATGAAGGCCCAAAACCTCCCCATCCAGAGCACATACAGGGTGCGATTATGGTCATTCTGCAATATTATTATTATACAGTATTTATAAAGCGCCAACAGTTCACTCAGCGCTGTACATTACAATGGGGGACAATACATGAGACAATGCAATAACAATGCAATACAATACACGAGGGGTTCGAGGGCCCTGCTCTTTCGAGCTTACAATCTAGGAGGGAGGGAATAGTGGTACAGGAGGAAAAGCTGTGGGGGATGGAGTGGTAGGAAGAGTGGAGGAGGTCGGCAAGTTAGCAGAGTGTGGGGTAGGCTTCCCTGAAGAGGTAGGTTTTTAGGGTGCGCCTAAAGGAGAGGAGAGTGGGTGATAGTCCTGGAGAAGTCCTGGAGGCGGGCATGGGAGGAGGAGACCAGGGAACTAGAGAGAAGGAGGTCTTGTGAGGAGCGGAGTGTGCGTGTTGGGCGGTACTTGGATATTAGGTCAGTGATGTAGTTTGGGGCAGTATTGTGGACGGCTTTGTACGTCAGTGTTAGGATTTTGAATTTCATCCGTTGGTGCAATCGGAAGCCAGTGGAGGGATTGGCAGAGGGGGGTGGCAGAGATGGAGCGGTTGGAAAGGTGGATGAGTCTGGCAGCCGTATTCAGGATGGACTGAAGCGGGGATAGCCAGCGGTGAGGCAGGCCAGTGAGGAGGGAGTTGCAGTAGTCGAGTCGTGATATGATGAGGGAGT